CACTATGAGTTATCATAGCACTATTCAACATGTATTTATACATGCCACTAAAATATTCACATCTGTAAGTATATTTCACTGCTCGATTATATAAAAATAGAGAATTCAAACAGAGAATAAATAAACTTCCTGTCATTGTTCATCATCATTTATGCACTATTACTACCTGTAACACTCATCATATAAGTGCTGGACTAGGAATTTATATTAGTGTAAACCAAGAGATTGTGAAGGTGTAAAAAAGTATAACTTATTCCTTCACGAACGATTATAGAACTCTATGTACATGAAGTGAATGAAAGTCAAATATTTTAATTGAGCCACATTCTTACTAGAGTGATGAGCTTCCACCCCACCCAGTGTTAGTTCACAATTCAATCCTGCAGTCATCTGGCCTCAGTGTCTGCTTCCTGCCATCCAGAAAGAAAAGGTGAGGAAGTCCTGACAAAATCATTGTTTTTCTTTTTTTGATTTGTATTTTGTCACAGGGCTTGGCAAAAAGAGGGCCTAACCTGTTTTCAGAGTTCCATCCCAAGGCTTGCTCTGGCATGTGATATGTGTTGACAAACTGCTGATTATTTCCAATAAAGGACCATGATCTGCACTTCACTATCTGTTGCTTGAGCTGGAATAGTAGGCATCCCTTTAAGTGTAGTCCTTCATGCTGAGAAGCAGTAGCATAAGAGGAACACATTTATCGTGTAGACCTCGCATCCCATGAATTTGTAACAGTTTTTTAGGTATACCCATCACCATTGGAGGAACTGACTTGTCCCAGTAATAACTGGTGTACCCAGCCTAACAGTTCCTTGACTTATGAGTACTTCTTATGAGTACACTTATGAGTCCTTCGTCCAATGTCCTTTCTCCTACTTCGGTCATGAACAGTAGAAGCTGGTGGCAGTGGTTCTTGAAATGTATATCGATTCCTAGGTGGCACAGTAGGTAAATAATCTGCCTACCAGTGCAGGAGATGGAAGTGATGTGGGTTTGATCCCTGGGTCAGGAAGATGACAATTCATACCCTCGTTTTACATGAACAAGTTTGATACTCATGAGTTTTTTCCTTCTGTATATACAGAGCAACAAATGCTGTTCAAGGACACTGAAAGAACCCTAATGTTGGAAATCAGATCTGTATTGTGAGCGATGCTTAGAAATCCATGAGTCAGTGACTTAGCACAGCACATGATTCATTGTTATAGCTGATATAATGGAGATGCCATGTAAAGAAGTGCCAGCAGGTGAAAGTCAATATTCACCACTTTTAAACTTTGGAATTTATTGCGATATTTTACATCCATATTTGTATGACTTCATAGTTGGAGAATCTATGCATATGAAGGGCTGATTGTGTTGTATTTATGTTGAGGGAAGATTTATTTTTATGTGGTTTGAGATACGGGTCCCATTTCATTCATATGCATATGTATGCTCATCACTTATTATCATTTTTTGAAAGGTTGTTGCCTAACCACAAAAGATGCTGGGATTCTTGGCCTCCTTAGGAGAAAAATTCAATCCGGGGCCAGTGACGAGGCTTGATCACTCAGAGCTTTTTTGTCACAAAGTTTTATTAAAGTATAAAAGAGAGAAAGCTTCTGACATAGACTTCAGAAGGGGGCAGAAAGAGTGCCCCCTACTCGTCTTTAGCCGGATGTTATATGGCTACTAGCAGTCTACTAATTAGAGAGAGGAATGGCAGCAGGCCCCTCACTCACAGGATATATGGAGAGTCATCCTGGGCCATAAAAGGATTCACATGAGCAGATATATAGCTTCACTAACATAGAGCAGGAGAACAGTGTATGAGTAAAGCATATTGGTTTGTCAAGTCAGTTCTGAACCTTTAGGCAAAACCTGCTTGAAGACGGAGTCTAGGGTAGAAACATAGTACATTCACATAGCTTAAGGCAAACATTTCCATAAGAAAAATGCATTGGTTAGCTCAAGATTTGAGAAAAGTTAAGTTTAGGTGGAACCAGATGTCATTATAGCAACACAGAATTTTAAGAGAAAACCTCTTTCTAAATTTGTGTCGAGAAGGGGAAAAAAAGATAACACTAGCTTGTTTCCTCCTGCCTCTTAAGAGAGAGAGAGAGAGAAAAAACGTCTGCCACTTGCAGCCTATTTCCTCCCTTTGGAGACCCATGCTAGCCTTCCTGCCTGTTAACCTCTCAGTTTCAGTCATTGACTGTTATCTGCCTTGTGAAACATTGAGTCTAGAAGTATGTGTTTATTTGGAGTATTTCATGCAATTTCATTTAAATGCATATGTTAATGGTAGTATTACAAAGTTTGATATGCTGTTGCTTTGTATACTGACATATGACATTGGGAAATGTGAGTCTCCAAGTTCAATTTAGTTTTTCATGTTTGTTTTTCATTTTAGGGGTACAAAGAAAAATAATAGACTCAGCATCAGCTTTTGTATTTTTTGTCAAATATGAATTCTGATCACATTGAATCTGGAGATGTGTCTGTGCATTAAAGTCCTAAT